GCTGCTTTTCTGGGTCTGGAGATAAAACACAGCCAAGGCCTAGATGTTATCTCTGGTTTCCAGAAACTCTCTCTGGGGTCAGCAGACCTGAGGCTTCGTTCCTGAGATTATCAGACGCTGATCGCTGATTGGAGCCTCGCTGCCCTGAGGGCTTCAGGATGAAGGGAGGGGACGTGCCAGGGAGAAGGAGGCAAGAAGCAGGTGAGTCAGGGTGAGGCCAGTTCGAATCAAAAGGAGAGAAAGGAGAAAAGGTCACGTTGAAGAAAAGAAGTTTCTATGCCATTCCACATTCTGCTTGCAGTTGGTACCATGGACCCAGGCCTGACTCACCAGGGCTCTTAGGGAGAAACCGCAGCCTTTTCACGGCTGCTTTAAAAATAGTAAACTGCTAGCATTGTTAAATGATGATAAAGATTAAACTGTTAACAGAATAAAAGTGTTAATTGGTTTTAACTGCTCTACAGGAAAGCCCGTGCTTTTAAGAATTTCATTACTTTCTATAATTAAACATTAAATTTTAAATACTGAATCAAAATACCAGTGGGGTTCAGGAAAGTGCCCCTGTTCCACTCCACTGCTGGGAGTTTAAAACGTCTGTGTGCACGCAGGATAAATATTTGGTCATCAAACATATACACAAAATCACAAAATGCTCAGCAAGAATGACATTGCACAGCTGCAGAGATGGACAAAATCACCAAAGGTCTACAACTTACATCTCGTCTGGTGCGAGAGTTTATCTAGACACCCACAGGGAATGATTCTGAAGTATCTACTTTTACTTTTTAAAAAGTAAAGTGTTTCTTTAACCTTTGACTTGGTAAATTTCTCCTGCGTGTCACTGGGGAGAAAAACTGGCATTTGGAAGCCACCCCTTCCTAAGGGGCTGAGTTGGAGTGTCTGTCCTGACAGAGGGGCGCAGGGCGGAGCAGGCACCGAAGGAGCTGGCTGTTGGGAGGATGGCCCCCAGGAATCCCTGCCTTTCTCCCCTCCAAGGCAACGTGGGAGTTGTGCCCGGGAAAGCACCCTCCTACCGTTCAGTTTCCTGTGACTAGTATAGTACATCCACGTGGACTCCACTGTACCTTCTGCATCACAACACAGTAGAGACAGGACGGCCAGTGCTGTCACTTCACACAGTTCTGGAAGTGGGCCGTCAGTGGGGTGGAACAGGGAAGGGGGCATACCCCTTTAAGATGCCCAGAGGGATGGAATTTGGAAAAAAAAAAAAAAGCCATTTAGGGGAAAGACTAGGATATTTTAGATTCCTACATCAAAAATACATTGACAGCCTACCACATGCAGCTGTCTTAGGGGGCGGGCTCCCCAAGACCACCCTTGGGCTCAATGATTCTCAAGAAAGACTCAGAAAGTACGACTTTGCTCACAGTTGTGGTTTATCGTAGTTAGAGGTGCAGAGTAAAACAGCACAGGGAACAGGCACAGGGAAGCTGACCAGAAAAGGCCAGACCCAGCTCCCAGTGTAGGGATATGGGGACACCCAGTTCTCCCAGCAACGCTGCGTGGCAACCCACGGGAAGGGCGGTCAACCAAGCTTTGGGGCCCAAGGTTCTGTGGACGGTAAGTCCACCAGGCAGGCCACATCCTCACAATGGGCCTCGGCCTCCTGCAGAGCAAACCAGGCTTTCCCTGTACCTGGTCCCTCGGGGCAGCTCAGTTCAAGGCCTCAGGCCCCTGGGGAACACTCACCAGGCTGAATATTCCAAAGGTTTGGGGTCACGATCTATCGGTCAGCCAAGGAACCGTGCCAAGACATGTGCAGGTTTGAACAGCCCAGGCTGCCGCATGAATCCTCCCCACACCACTGTCACCCACCTGACGTTGTCTGTTGCAGAGAACAATCCTGAGATAAAGTCCTGTTGCCCCTGTTTTATAGGGGAGGGGTCAGCAGGTGGCATCTTTGCTCAGCTCAGGCGCCATTGCCTTCCTCTGGGTCCTGTGCTTCTCCCTGGGACACTGACCACAGCAAGGCTGCCATTCTTCCATCACTGCTAACCTCCCCCACTCCTGGGGCGGCTCGGAGGCAGGGACCCAGGTGCATTTTCCTGCTTTGCACCCCCATGCTCAAGACCATGCCCGGCCCACAGACCGTGAGAGACCTGTGCTCAGGGGATGTGACAGGCCATGTCACCATGGTGGAAAGCTGTGCCCTTAGTCTTTTGATGTCCCTATATTACAAAGTCAAAAAAGAAAAACTAGAAATAAGCATGTCAGTCCCTACTGACAAAAAATCTACTTCTTAGATTTTTTAGGAGGCCCTAAGCCTTAAAACTGAAAGGGACTTCATTGATTTTCTTCTTTAACGTTTTTATTTTAGATAGGAAAATGTGGTCATTTTTGTGTATGTGCCTTGTAAAATGTAAAGATAGATGACATTTCTGTAATTGCCTATAAATTTCAATAGAATTCTAGCTTGGAGTCAGGACACATACGTCAACCATATTTTCACTTATTTCTGTAAATAAACGCAACTAAAGGCTGTGCCTGTTGGCGACGTGAGCCCCTGTTCACACGGTCAGACGTAGGGAGCTCTTCTGTCCTGGGTGTCCCAAGGTAAGGAAAGGATCCTTCTAGGTTTTATTTTTCTGTTGTTCTTTTTGTCATTTTCTTTTTTTCTAGCCCTCAGTTTCATATCAAGGTCTTCGGCTGGGTTTTCTAATATGTGCTCATCTGGGTCCGAAGCATCGCTGCTCAGACCCCTTTAGTGAAGCAGCGACTGGTGGAAAGGGCTCTGCGGGTGAGTGCCCCTCACGCTCCAGCATGCACAGGAGTCGCCCAGGACGCTGTCAAAGGCAGGATCTGTTTCCACGTCTGGGCAGGCGGCCCGGGCTGCAGCGGGTGCTGGTCTGCGGGCCACGCATCGCATACCAAGGAGACAGCATCAAAATGGGTCATCGGTGCCTTGATGAGCTTCTCTGTGCAGCCTGGCTACCAGCGAGCTGTTCACACGTACAAGAAAAAAAATCTCCATCTCGGTTCCTCACCAAAGAACATGTTTCAAACAGGAAACAGGAAACCGAAATGGTTTGTGCCAACGCTGCTGACAAAAGCCATGAAGATGAACCAATCTGACTAAAGAATTTTTCTTTTCTATCTTTTATTTTTTCAAGTACAGTTTGCATCCCAATTCCCTTCATCTGACTTTTAGAAGGGTTTTGCCTTCAGTCTGGCGCTAGTTAGGGGCCTACCCTGGAGATAGCACAGCTCCACCGAAATGCCGTTGCCTCCTAACTCTGAGTCTTTACTGCCTTACTCCTGATCAGAGGGGATGTTCACCATCGCCTTTATGTCAGAGGCTGGACAAAACCCCTCCGGAGGCCCTCGGGTTCCCTCGCTGGGCAGAGCTGCGTCCAGGAAGCCGGTGTTAGACCTCTGCCTGTCAGTGCCTGAGTCCGAAGTGACGACTCATGTCCCCCCGCCCTGTCATCTCTGAAGGCTCAAGGGCAGCATTTTTCCGATGACAAGGAACAAAACTCAACCTCAAACAAAAAGTCTGCCTCCCCCTGGTGTCCCTGCTCCTGCTCTTGGGTTCCAATCCACGGAGAAAGCTCACTGGTTTCACTTGGTGAAAATGCCTCACCTCCCCCCAGACTTTCCATTCCACACCGGGTGGGTTTTATTGAGATCTCTGTTGCAGAAGCTGAGTGCTTGGCTCCATGTGGCCCTGAGGGATGACAGTCAAAGCCTCTGGAACGTCTGTAGCCTCTTGAGACCTTTCTTTCCCACCAAAAACTCCTTGGAGGATCATAGCAAAGAACCTGAAATTTTTCTTGGTGCTGGAAGACAGTTTGGTCGTATGAACGTTTTGTGTAAACCTTTTGATGTTATAACCAGAATACCAGCCACACAGCAATTCAGTGACTGTCCAATGTCTGAATGCTGATGTTTGATTGGTAATGAGTTTTTCTAAAGCCCTCCAATTATTTTTCCAAACTGGCCTAAAAGAGTAATTTGAAATATTTTCCATTGCAGAATTACTCTCTGTTGATAAAACTTAGCTATAGTCCGGTTGCCTAACAAATTGTCACTGGATTTATTCCAATAAAAATAATTGAAAGAAATGTGTGTTCTGATTTTCCTCTTGAATTTATGTAGTAAGAATTTCTAATGTATTATATGCTCTTAGAAATAACACAGAAATAGTTGAATAGTCCATCTGATAAAAATATAATTAAGCCAAGCATTTCTCTTTAGTGAATACTGATATTACCACCATACTTCATGAAATAGGAATAGCAACATATTTGAGCATTTAGTGTGTGCCAGCAACATTGTAGATATTTTGTATATCAAGCATTTTAACTGTCATACAGACCTTATGAGATGGAGACTCATTGTTCTTATGTTAGGGATGTGGAAAGAAGGTAAACCAATTAATTTGCCCAAAGTCTCCCTGCTGGTAAGTGGCAGAGCCGAAGTTCAAACCAAATAAAAGAGTCTCTCTTATGCCATGTGGTTTCCTAGGCTATACCAAGTTTTATATGAGGATTATTCAGTTTAAATAAAAGCTTCAGCCTATGTGTGCAAACTGATAAACTAAAATTTCCTAGTCTCCTCATTGGTTGCCACTGCAGTGAGTGTAAATTGCAGAATTTTTTAAGTGACTCTATTTCCAATAGCGCTGTGATATCACAGTGATATTAAATGTGAAAACCCTGTAAAAATAACTGTTTGTTTTTATTCTTCATGCATTGCAATAGCCCCAAACACTTTAATCTGTTCTTTGAAACTCTCATGAATACTTCATCCAAAAATCCAAATGTACATGGATTTTCGCCCTTAGTTCTGTTCCATGTGCCATTTAAAGACGTGTTGGTGGGTTGGCAGGTTGGTAAGTTGGTTTGGTCAAGGATGAATCTGCTTCACTAACTCCTGAGTCCAGGAGGAGGAAACCACCTGACAAGGGCATCCTTCACATGGAGAACTGTTCCGCACTTGAACACATGGAGACCCATCTCTTTCCATCTCTGTTCTCACAGAATGTGTGACACGGGAGAAGGACTATTCACTTTTCAAACCAGGGAAGGAGAGATGATCTACCAGAAGGTCCACTCTGCGACACTGGCCATAGCTGAGCAGCACGAAAGATTAATGCTAGAAATGGAGCAGAAGGCCCGGGTAAGGCTCCCTCCTTGGGAACTGAACAGCTTCTGCTGCATGTCGTGTGTATATGCGGGTCCATCTGTGTCTCCACCCCAGTGTCCACCCCAGTGTCCACCCCCACCCTGGCCCCCAGAGCTCACCCCAGTTACTGAATCTCATCTTCCTAACTCCCCATTCAGCTGCTGAGAAAAGAAGTTATCTGTGGTAACTAGGAGAGAACCCTGAACTCTGTGTATCTACCTATGCATGACCTGTTGCCATGGTTACCCCAAAAAGGGTGGTGTGCACAGAGAATGGAATAAGAAGCCATGTCCTCTGCATAGCTCCACATACAGTTGGACAATCAGAAATTCAAATGTAGGCCCAGGAAAATGTAGTAACCACCAGGAAGGATTCCACTTTCGTTTTGTCTTCATCCTAGCATTTCTGAAACTTCTCTGTCTTTTGGTGTGTAATTCAGAGCCAGTGATAAAGTGCTTACAGAAGGAGCTCCTGTGGTAGACAAAGGGAATGGATTGCCTGTCTACTCTCCTGTCCTGGGGCCATACTACCTGCAGTTTCGGGGTTCAGCTAAGACGCAATTTAGTAAAAAATCTGCAGTAGTAAAGTATACACGTAGCTGGAAAAATTGTAAGCTTTATAAAAGCAAGCAGTGGAATGATTATTGGCTACAATCTTGAGAGATGAAGAGGTGAATATTGTCTGTCTCTTCAGGACTTCCGGAGATGCGTGAGATCTTACATGTGAGAGCACAGGTGGCACTTCGGGAAACAGGGTCCCTCATCACAAGAAAACAATGACTGTCTTCTAGTTTAAGACTGTAGACTTCTGTGTCTAGTATTATAGCAGTTTTGATTTTAAGATTTCTCAATCACATAACATATTAAATATAAAAACAAAGAAGTAGTTCAACAAATGATCTCATGTTATTCTTCACACATTTTTTAATTTTCTCAACACTGCATGCATAATTTTGTCTCTCTGTCTAGGATGTGGTTTATAAGAGCTTTCTCAACACTGAAGGGCGACACACACACAGGTCGAGCTCATACGGGACATCTGGCCTTCCCCGGGGGAGAATGAGCGGCTTAAACATCAGTAGGATTATTAATATGACTACAGGATTTAAATGCATTAATAGGAGGTTGGAATGACCTGGTCTTCTAGAGTTGAGTTCAATTTAAACCACTGTAGCAATGATCTAATTAATATGACATTTTTTCTAGTAGCTTAATATAATTGCTGAAAAAATTTTACATTTTTTCAGTCTTACACATTCCTTATCAGTCCATATTTGCAATTGACCACCAAATTATTGGCAACCAAAAGTAATAATTGTGATGTCACTTTCTACTAGTCAATAGCTGCCGCTCTTCTTTACTCACACTTGTTTCAAACGGGTAAAGTGCTCACAAGTCATTTAAATTATATTTGCATGCAGGACACTGCAAGAGCTTTTCCACACCACTGTAATTATCCGCCGTCATAAGGGAGAGCATTCGGTTTGTGTTCCGGGTCCCGAGTTCCACCACTTACCCACTGTGTAATCTTGGGCAAGTCATCTAACCTCTGAATGGCTTGTTTTCCTTTATCTGTAAAGTGAGGGTATAATGGTTCTATATGTTTGGTTGCTATGAGGTATCTGCATTTATATGTGTGTGTCTCATATACTTCTGAGAATAAACCTGGCACATAGAGAGTACCACAAAACGTTCATTATTATGATGTTGAGCCATCTGCAGGAGCGATTTTGAATATTTATGAGATTTGCAATGTTTGTGAAGACACTACCTTGTTATTCCTAAAGATAGCTAAATAATATCCTTCAATCCCTTTCACGTATGTCTAGCAATCTTGTGCCAAAAAATTTGTAAAACAGAATTCGAGCAGCATGTGCTGCTGATGCTGTTGTCTGTTGCCACATCCTGACCTTCTGAGGGTGCATCTGGGGAACGGAGTCGAGCCATTGCTGGGAGGGGTCTGAGGTGCTCAGCTGGTCCCCTGTCTCAGGTCTCAAGCCTCTAAAGCTGGAGGGGACACATGGAGACGGGCACTTGGAGGTAGCAGGGGAAGTGGGGCAGGTGTTGAAATAGCAGCCTCAGTAAGTACAGCTCAACAGAGGATCCAAATGTTTCTAGAAATCACAAACTCAAAGACTCCATCAACTCGTACATGCATGTAAATGGAGAATTGGTTTAATTTCAAAAACGATTGCACAGCTAAGCTTTTCTCTGAAGGTTAATGCTAATAAATTCCTCCAGGTCTGGTCCATCCTTCAGATAAAATTAAATTAATGATGCTTTTTAGAGGGCAAGTTATACAACTTGAAAACTGCCCCCAAGCCCTCAGATTCTAGGGCCATAAGCAAAGGTTTCCAGGCCTCCAAGATACAGGTTTTTCTTTTCCTTTTAAGAAAATGCCTTTACATGCACTAACCTCTTCTTAAAAAGAAATTCTAACAAGAAGGGAATAGTATTGAAGGATCCTCTTCATATTTATGAAGCAATAACTCTTCATTTGCTTACTTAAATAAAATGACAGTCTGTGCTGTAAACCAGACAAAAATGTAACGAGGAAGTTGGGAAAGCACCAGAAAGCTTGTGTAGGACATAAAACTGTTTCATTTCATTCATCACGTGTCTCACACAAATAAGATGATGACACTGTTCATTGGCCTCAGAAGATTAATATTGATCAGATAGAAAATGCTTATGTATTTTAATGTGATTAAAAAGGGTTTACAAGATTAAATTATAATTGAGCTATATAAGCGATTAATGTGCCAAACATGACTGTTCGGGGCACTGAATGAAACATTTACTTGTGTCCTTTCAGAGGTGATTCCGGAGTGTTACTGGTTTTATAGATAAACTTGAGAAATAATGTCTCAAGAACCATTTCTTAATTATAAGAGAAAGAATTCACTATAATCTTTTTACCTCATAGGTTTGTAAAAACTTGTTTTTCCCTTGTTCATTATTTTCCTTCTAGGGGACCACATAAATAAATATATTTTGATATGTCACCATAATCCGAGTTAGGCAATATTGCTTTCCTTCTTTGAAGAATCTAATATCTAGAAAAGCAGTACACTTGCCCAGCAGAATGGTGGATAAAAAGATATACTGAGTTGCTAAGGCTTTTAAAAGTGTAGACTTTGATTTTCTTCACCAAAAAAGTATGTTGAAAAAAATTCATTAATATTAACTGATTGGATTAGGAAGTTTCTAAGAGCGGTTAGCTATTCATCAGCCATTCACAGGTCGCCTAGTACTTACTCTGTGCTCAGAACTCTGCACAGCAGTGGAAGGACTACAAGAGAGGAGCAAGAAAGTTCCCTCCTTCTCAAGTGGCCCAGAATTCCATGGGATCAAATAGTTAATACTACCCACAGTAAGATCATCTTATGTCCCTTCACTCCTTAAAATATCAAAAGTTTATCAGGCCTAATTTAATCAGGTGGGTAAGATATCACCATCACAAAATGTTGACCACTGAGACCAACACCACCAGGTGAGCTTCTTTACGTGGTTGTGACAAAGCAGCCTGGCTGGTTTCTTGGATGGTCCACTTATCGGAGGTCCTCAGACCACCCTCCACGGAGAATGATTTTTGCACCCCGAGAAGACAGCCTTCCCCGCTTACTGTTCACACCTGTGTCCAGTGGGGAGACGGAAAATGATCGTGATAAGAAAAGGGATAGCAATCTTAAGTAGTCTCTCAATTTTCTTTACTTACAAATCCCAAACCAGTCTCATTTTAAAGGAAGTTTCATTTTGGGGGAGTGCATTAGAAAGTTAAGTCAAGGTGATACGTTTTATTTTCTTATTTTTATAGTCACAATAATCCCAGGGCATTTTTTCTTTTATTGTTTAAGCTGTTACGTTGTTTCATTTTTCTCCCCTTCCCCTCCCTCACCCAACATCACCCTCTCCCCACCCCAAGCCAATCCCTACCTTGTTGTCTGTGTCTATGAATTGAGCATAAATGTCCTTTGGTGAATTGCTTCACCATATTCATCCCATCCCCCACCCCTTTCTGGCAGCTGTTGGTCTATTCTATGTATTTAAGCTTCTGTTACTGTCTCTTGTTCATTAGTTTACAGTACTCATCAGATTCCACATGTAGGTGAGAGCATGTGGTATTTTTCTTTCACTGACTAGCTTAGCAGAGTTTTCTCCAGGTCCATCCATGCTGTTGCAAAATGCATTGGAGAAGTAAGTCACAGTGATCCATTTTAAACTATTTCTGACACAGTTCTAAGATCAAATATTTAAGGATATTAGTAAAGCTAGCTATCCAAACAAACAACACCTCTAAAATGTGTCTCCATTTCACAGAGGTCATTCCTGTTCTTTTGAAAAATAATCAGTCAAAAACAAATCACCTTATTTTCATTTTTAATGTAAAATGAAAAGACGTGTCCGACAAAGAAGCAGCATGAGCTTCCTGTGTCATCCACCACCCTGGCGTGGAAACATGGCCAATGCCACATTCATCTCAGTGAAGGCAAAGCGGAGGAGACCCAGAAGAGAGAAAGAATGGCGCTGTCTGCATGTCAAACTCACTACAACCGCAACTCAAGGTCAAGTCGATTTGCTCTTCCAGATTTGTACGTGAACGTAAAACTTACTCGAGTACTGACCATCACCAGCCCATGAAATAACTGTTGTCTGGATAGTTCCCTGAACAGAGAAATACTATTATAGTGCATCGATTCCAAAACACACAAGTTTTTTTTTCACATTTGAACATCTCTCAAGTCTCATGTGAGTGGCAGTTTAATTACAAGCACTGCTCTCTCATGGCGCAGCATAAAACAATGTTGTCTTTCAACGGATGGCACCTTAGAGTACATGATGCTTGTTATGAAGACACTGAAATGTGATGCCCGACTGTAGCTAAATAATAGTTTTCCATTTCTTTCAAGTATGACCGTGAATGCCCTGTGCTCATTTGTGATTTTTGAGGGGATGAGGAAGCATTCCAAAATGGGCTCTGACCTTGGCCGTTTG